CTGGACAATCACCCCCAAACAATCACCCCCGGACAATCACCGCCGGACAATCACCTCCGGACAATCACCCCCGGACAATCACCCCCAGACAATCACCCCCGGACAACCACCCCCGGACAATCAACCCCGGACAATCACCCCAATAAGCTACATATTTACGTCACATTTTTTGCAGATGGGTGTCTGAAAATGATTAAGGTGTTACTCATAGTACAAACTCCTATTGTTTTCGTTAGCATCAATAAATATTGATGATATATTGTTATTAATTTATTAATTATATTAATAGATAAATGTTCATATCCATACTGTGTATCGTGTCATATTTTATGTGCCAGACACATACCTGGTGTGAGGTAGGCGCTTGTAGCAAGATATTACACAACCAATGTTGCTACACCTCAACTAATTAAAACTAGTTTTAACTTATGGATGCTCGGTCAAATGTATTTATAGGTAACGTTATATAAACACAATGGCGTGTGGCAATAAGGGTTCTCTTGGTTTCTTTGCACATAAGACAATCTCAAATGTGTGACAGACATTACATCACATATTCGCTATCCTCGTATGAGAATAAAATCTCTATCGCTAGCATGAGATAATCTGGCATCAGAACCAAGAAAAGTATAACGTCATAGTTCCTACCGATGACCCAGTGATGAATTTCTCCCTTGCAGACGTAACCGCACACATCAATGATGGATGCATCCTTCATGTACTTAATCGCAACGGCACCTCGTGAGTAATGAGGAGGGAACTGCTCCGGTTTCAGATGCTCCTGTAGGCGGTCCAGGAACTCTGTAGTCTCCGTTGTTAACTCACTTAATGTCTCAATAACCTTTCTGAGTTCTTCTTCATTATAGGCAAGGTGAACGTCCTTTGTGGCCATTGATGTTGTTAGCTTGATGAACGCAGGAACACCTGTGGTCTTTAGAATCTCTGACATTGCCGCATCACTCCTGTTAGCGCATGCGCGTAGGTCAACAAACTTGAAGGGAATCGGGTCTGGATCAATAAGCTGATAGGTGTAATACTTGTTGAAACAGTAAAACTCCGACATGAATGATGGACCACAAAGGTAAGGAAACTTTTCCGTGAGAATAGATGCAATAATTGTTGGTGCGTCGTGGTAAGTGAAGATACCGAAGACTGTATTCATGCAGATAAACTGTTCCAATTCTTTCATTTCAAGTGGTTTAATGTCGTTGTTTTTATCACCAAACACACTGAAAACGTGCACAGAGAACTTGTCGCGATATCTCTCGAGGTATTTAGCGATTGCAGGCCTTATGACATCATCGACGATCGCCAACAACTTATTGTCGTGATTTTTTCTTGCTTGGTTCATGATGTTTGCTGCCAGGAAAAAATATTTATAATCTCAGTACCATTACTGTGTTCTCTATCTCATATATTATCAGCTAATCATACTTTTACACGATCCTAGTAATAGGTTGTGTATTAGAATGGGCTAAAGATACAACTACTCAGATGTTGAGACACAATTCCTTAGTTTAATACAAACTATAATACGATAATGTGGATCTAAAAAGATAGTTCATGCGTAGCTGACTTTGATATATATATATAAGTCGGGATGCTTGGGTCTACACTACGGTAGAGTGCTCAATGCATTAGGTTGCAGAGCGTAATATAATATTATAGTCTGTAGATAAATTAAAGACAAGACATCACTTTTAGCTGTTACTCCAAGTTTCACGCTTGCGCGATCATCAGACAACTTTAATGAATATTAAACCTTGTATACATTCCATAACCTATATAAACATGAATGGCGCTATAGCTCTAGTAACTATTAAAAACGCGTTATTTTACGTAATACGCTGCAGTATTCCGCCCACGTATCGTTTTTTTGTTTGTTTCTAATGTTATTGCCGCCATTTATACGAAAATTCACTCATACTCTCCGTAAATATCGTTAAATTAACCCCCCTGTCCCTTCAGCAAATTAACAACAACTATGTAATGCGCGAGCAAGCGCGCGTAAACGTATCGCCCTAGAAAACGCGTTAGTTCACGTAACACGCTGCAGTATTCCGCCGACGACGTTGCTGCGGATAGGATGCTGCAGTATCGTGACTTCCTTCCACGTGGGTGACTCTCCCTGTCAGCTCTTTCCTGTCGTGACTGTACGTGCGGCGGTGGTCGTCACTCACTGCGCGTCGCTGTACGATGATGTTCTGGCCGTCGTCTATCGTCATACGCGAGAGTAAGCCGTTGTCAACGCCGTTGTCCGTGGTAGCGGTGACCACCGCAGCGGCAGTTGTAATGTTTCTCGCTCGGGTCGAGACTGATAATCTTGTAACAGTGTCCGCGCGCGCAGATCGAGGCGACGGGCTCACCTGTGATAGCGTTGGTCGTATATTAAATTGATGAGGATTCTCCAGCTTCTCCTGTGATTTTCATGTTCATTAGGTAATATTTGTTCTCGTGTCGGCACTTCGAAATTAGTCCTGATCTTTTGTTAAGGAGCCTGAATTTGTCTGCTTTAGTAATGTAGAGTTTTTCAGTTAAACAGAGATTGCATTTTTTGGAGATGTTGTTGTATGGGCTTGCTGAAGTGATGATTGACCAATTGATTTGATAATCTTTCTTGTCGTCTTTGAGTTTCCAGATGTGCTTTGAGAGTTCAGTGCTGTTAGCGTATTTCCTGTTTCGAAATGATAGCTTGTGTTTAGTATGACCTTGTTTAAATGTTCCCTCTGTAACTCCGATGTAGTTCTTTCCTATGGTGTCTTCATCTGTAGTTACGCGTGCGTTGTAGACTAGGCTGGTTGATAGGCAGTTATTGTCGCGTTTTCTCGCGCGATACTTTTATGCGCGCATTGCACAGTTGCTGTTAATCTGCGGACGAGACAGGGGGCTTAATGTGACGAAATTTACGGAGAGTAGGACTGAATTTTCGTATAAATGGCGGCAATAAGATTAGAAACAAACAAAAAAGTTAAAAGTCGAACAACAATATACGAGCAGAACAATCCGTTTAATTATAGATCTACTGACTTTGGTAACTATGGCCAGCATACGGTTTCCGCAGGCAACCGTACGCGAGCTATAGTTACTAGAGCTATAGAACTACATAACAATAGATAACTAAAACAATAGCGCCATTCATGTTTATATAGGTTATGGAATG